ACGCCTCCTCGGCGGCCGAGGTCCACCTGAAAGGGACCTTGGAGGAGGTGAGGGCGGTGAGAGGTGCTGCCACCGTGCTGTAGCCCCGGATGAACCTCCTATAGAAGTTGGCGAACCCCAGGAATCGTTGCAGCTGTTTGCGGGAATCAGGGACGGGCCAGGAGGTGACAGCTGATACCTTGACGGGGTCCATCTCCATGCGGTCCCGGCCTATGATGTACCCCAGGAAGGAGACAGAGGGGGCGTGGAACTCGCACTTCTCCGCCTTGACGAACAGTGAGTTCTCCAGTAGTCGCTGCAACACTGTCTGGACGTGATGAATGTGTTCTTGCTTGGAGCGGGAGAAGATGAGAATATCGTCTAGGTAGACGAACACGAACTTATTGAGCATGTCTCGGAGCACATCATTGATGAGGGCTTGGAACACAGCAGGGGCATTGGTGAGGCCGAAAGGCATCACCAGGTACTCGTAATGTCCAGTAGGGGTGTTGAAGGCCGTCTTCCACTCGTCTCCCTCACGGATCCGGACCAGATGGTATGCGTTGCGGAGGTCCAACTTAGTGAAGATGGTGGCCCCTTGGAGCAGCTCGAAGGCTGAGGCGATGAGGGGGAGAGGGTAGCGGTTCTTCACCGTGATGTCGTTGAGCCCTCTGTAGTCGATGCAGGGCCTCAATGTCCCGTCCTTCTTGTCGACGAAGAAGAACCCCGCTCCGGCAGGTGAAGAGGAGGGTCGGATGATCCCGGCGGCCAGGGCGTCGTTTATGTAGGTCTCCATGGCTTCCCTTTCAGGTGCGGACAGGGAGTAGAGGCGGCCCTTGGGAGGGACGGAGCCGGGAAGGAGGTCGATGGCACAGTCGTAGGGCCGATGAGGGGGCAGAGAGGTGGCCCTAGCCTTGCTAAACACCTCCCAAAAGTCGTGGTAGTCAGGGGGCACCATGGAGAGGTCTGAGGTGGAACGGGAGCTGGCCGGTGGCGTGGATGCCACTGCTGGTCTGAGGCAGATCTGTTGACAGGAGGGGCTCCATCCCAGGATGGACCCCGTGGACCAGTCTATGTGGGGGTTATGACGGCGAAGCCAGGGGTAGCCAAGAATCAGGGGAAGGTTGGGAGATCTCAGAATGTGAAACTGAATAGTCTCTTGATGTGTGCCGGACAGAAGCATCGAGATGGGAGTGGTTTGATGAGTGACAGTCCCCAGGAGATGACCGTCCAGGGCGCTGGCTGGCACGGGATGAGGGAGAGGGACCCTAATGAGGTCCAACTGGCGGGCGAGCTCCTCGTCGATCAGGCTGACGTCCGCCCCCGAGTCGATGAATGTGGCGAGGGTGTGGGACCCCCCTGGCAGCAAAAGCTGGACGTGGAACAGAGGTCTTGGGTCGGGGGCAGAGTTCTGGGAACGGCTCAGCAGAATGCCCCTCTTTACTGCTGAGCCCTCCCTTTTGCTGGACACCGGGAAACAAAATGGCCGGCCTGGCCACAGTAGAGGCAGAGATTTCCCCGGCGTCGTCGCTCTCGCTCCTCTGGCGTTAGGCTGGTCCGCCCCACCTGCATGGGCTCCGCCCCTCCATGTATGGGTTCAGGAGGTGGGACAGGAGGGGCTGGGAGTCGACGTTGACGGAAAGATGGCCGGTGATCTCCTCCCTCGTGGCGTTGTTCCCTCCTCCTTGTCTGAATCCGCCTGTCCAGCCTCGTGGTCAACTCGATGAGTCCGTCCAGGGAACTGGGGAGGTCGAACGAAACCAGCTCATCCTTCACGTACGGAGCCAGCCCGTTGAGGAAAGCGTCACATTGGGCGGCAGCGTTCCAATCACTGAGACGAGCCCGGGTCCTGAAGTCAATGGCATAGTCAGCAACTGTCCGATCCCCCTGCCTCTGGCTCATGAGACCCCCTGTAGCATCAGGACCCAGGGAAACGGGACCAAAAACCTTGCGAAGCTCCTCTGAGAAGGCCTGGAAAGAGGCGCAGGCTGGTGTGCCTCTCTCCCACTCTGCCGTTCCCCACAGACGTGCCCTTCCAGTGAGGTGGTTGATGGTGAAGGCGACTCTAGCCCCCTCTGTGGCGAAGGTATGAGGTTGCAGGGCGAACAGAATGGAACAGTTTGTCAGGAAAGGGTTGCAGCCCTCAGGGTCCCCTGCGTAGCGTTCTGGCGCCCCCACCCGGGGCTCGGGTGCAGTGCTAGAGGACGGCCCCGGGGTCGGAGCAGGAGGGGCTGGAGCCGCAGCAGGAACGGCGTGTTGTGTCATGGCGGCCGCCATCTGTTGCACCTGGGCGGCTAGCGAGGTTAGCGCTCGTTCCAGAGCAGACGCCGACTGACGAGCCTCCGCCGCGTTGGAGGCTAACTGAGCCTCATGCTGCTGGAGCATGCCCTCCACCCGGGCTAGGCGAGACTGAGGTGAAGCAGGGTCTGCTGGGTCCATTTCTGGCCAGATTGTACTGAAACGGGTGTGTTTGTGGACCCAAATGCAGTACCAGGCTCGCAGGAACAGTTGGTAATGACTTTTATTAGCACCACAGCAAACAGGGAATGCAGCAGGCAGAATAAACACAGAATAAAGTTCGTTCTTCGGGCAAGTTGCCCTCACACAGTCTCTGAGGCTCAGATGAGGGAAAGAGATCAAGCTTACGGCAGCCAAAGGTGGCGAGGCAGACGCACCGTAGGCTGAAGTGCCGGCTGATCGTGCTGAGAAGCCGACGAGGAGTGAGCTGAGGCGAGGTCGGGAGCCGGTGGGGGGGTCGTAGCTAGAAGAGCCGTCAGCGAAGGCAGAAGCACCGTTGAGGAGCAGGCAGGAGGGTAGACGAGGCCGGGCGGAGGAGTCGAGACCAGACGAGCAGGCAGAAACCAGAGACGCTGAAGCAAAGCACGAGGTCGGGGACAGAAGGCAGGTGAGTTTACCGGGAGGCAGACGAGGGGAGCAGGTCGGGGACAGGCAGAGTTGGCACCGGGAGATCAGGCAGGAGAAGAACGCTGGAGAGTCTCGCATAATGCTAAAGAACAATCTGGCAGTGAGTGAAGGTGCTGGAGAGGCTTATATGCAGGGCTGGTTGATGAGCTGCAGCTGTGTAGGCAGGTGAGCAGAGTTGGGCTGATGAGGTGGGAATGTGATACAGGCACCTCCTTGGTTATTTGCTCTGTCCAGTCTGACCAAGACCATAACAAAGTCTAGATGGGTCTCAGCCATGTTTCCTGAGTACATATCATGTCTGGTTTATCACTCAAGTCTTTAATGACTTACTTAAATTCCTGACCATTTGCAATTAAATTCCTGTGAGTACCATTATTAGTTTAATGGCTAGAAATATCAGCAGTAAGAGGTTCATCATGTCTTGTATTGTTTTGCACTCTACACTTGAGATCCTGAGAAACTCCTTTGCAGCTTCAACAATTGTTTCAATTCTCACATTTCTGTTATTTTGTTCTAACCCAATGTAAACACAAAATTTACTTTATCAACTAGAAGAGTTCCTTCCTTTACCTCACACTGTGGGAGGTCTCATGCTGGCCTGTGTGGCACGTCTCTGTTTCCTGCAATAAGAGGACCAGTTCTGTTAATAGTGTCACTCCTTTCAATTTTATTTTCCTTCGCTATCTGTGCATTGTTCACACTCTGCATATGACACTTTGTTTAGCATCTTATATCTTTGGACTTCTCTTGCTTGCGTTTGTGCCTCACAACCTCCAAAGGCTGCACTGTGGTCTCCTCCACAATTGCAACACTTACAGTAACCGGCACATCTTTCCCACACTTTCCAAATGCATGGTCTCCTCCACATCTTGCAAATCTTTCTCTACCTTTGCACTGTTTCACAGTATGTCCCATTCTCTGACATTTACAGCACCTTAAAGCTGGAGGAATGAACTCTCTCACTGTGTAGCAGAAGAGGCCTAGCAGAACTTTTCTTGGAATGTCATGTTCAAAGTCAATAATTACTGACAGTGTTTCCGCTCGTTCTCCACTTCTTTTATTAGTAATGCGTTTAGCATCGAGCACTTTACCTCCTTTCAGTTGTTTTAATCTCTTCCATTGAGACAAACAGTGGCACTCCAGAAATGACTCCCCTATGTGTAGCCGCTGTGCCAGGAACATGGGTTTTGACTTTTTTACCATCCANCTAGCAGAACTTTTCTTGGAATGTCATGTTCAAAGTCAATAATTACTGACAGTGTTTCCGCTCGTTCTCCACTTCTTTTATTAGTAATGCGTTTAGCATCGAGCACTTTACCTCCTTTCAGTTGTTTTAATCTCTTCCATTGAGACAAACAGTGGCACTCCAGAAATGACTCCCCTATGTGTAGCCGCTGTGCCAGGAACATGGGTTTTGACTTTTTTACCATCCACAGTATTTGTTTTCAATCATCTTGCTGTTTTTTACTCACTGCATGAACAAGTATGCGCTTGTTATTCAAGTACTTTGCAAACCAACATCCTTTGAGAGCTTTAGCTTTAGCTTAAATATAAGGTGGAAATTCTCAACAAATACAATTATCACTTTCCAATCATTGCTCCCATATTCAGCTCAGCAAAAAAGATCCCCCAAACATGCCTTGGGTTTGGAGGACATGTAAAAAAATGAAGCAAAAAAGTTTAAAGAAAAAAAACCTCACCAAAAATCTTTTCTAAAAAACAAATTAAAAGAGGAAAAATAAAAGCAACATTTTTAAAGAAGAAAATTAAGCAAATGTTAAAGTTATTGTTGAAAGCTCAGATTTCCCCCCAAAATGTTTTCTGTAAACACTAATCCCGCATAAATAATAAACAGTACCTCAGAACCAATGAGACATTATTCTGGATGTTTACGTTTTATGTATTATTCTATTTTCTATTCTATATTTTATCAATATTTTTTAATGATTCTGTTTTTATTTGTTATTCTTAATTATTATTATTGTTATTAATATTAATATTATATGTTCTCATATTGTTCAATAAAGAATTTTAAAAAACGGATATGGGATCTTATTTTGAAATCTGTCCCGGAAGTGATAATCATATCCGGTGGTCTGACCGCCGTGATTAGCAGTGTTAGCAGAGTGAACCGTTAGCTGGATCTAAATAACGGCAGAAAAACAAACCGTCAGAGTTTAGTTCAGTAACCGGAGCAGAGATGGACCCACACCGGAAGCTGCTGTCTGACGTCACGGACGAGGCTTTAAACCCGAGAAGAAGAAGAAGAAGAGGTTTGTTTCCTGTCTGCTAATGTTGCTAAGCTACCGTTAGCCTGCTAGCCGCGGTTAGCTTCAGTCTGAGCCTTTGTTTGTTCGTTTGTTTATTTGTTTATTAGAAGAAGCGGTTGAAGTAACGAAGTACTGTTACTGAAGTACTCAAGTACAGTTTAAAGGTGCTTTACTCGAGTATTTCCTTTCAGAGGAAACTGTTGTACTTTTACTGCCCTCCAGTTATCAGACAGCTTCAGTTCCTTTACAGAGTATTGAGACTAAACATGATCAATAATCAGTGATGACGTGTTAATAGAGATCAATCTACATTTAAATGAGCTCATAAATCAATTATATATAAATATCATTGATCAAATATACAATCACTTTTATACACACACACACATATATATATGTATATATATATATATATACATATATATATAACAACATATATATATGTAACATAACATAATAACATATATATATATATGTATATATATATATATATATGTATGTTGTAACACCGGGTATATAGTGATGACTGTTATTATGTGTGTTGATTACATTATTTCTATTGAGGGAGGTGTCCATCGTAGGGGTATTGGCTGATAAGTTGTTCTGGGGAGGGGTAAGGAATGTTGGGGGTAAGTTACGACAGTTCACGACAGAGGGGGTGGGAGTGAGAGCGGGAGGCTGCGGAAGCTGTTGGCGGCATAGTGATTGAGGGGCAGCAGTTCAGAGAGAGTTAGAGAGCTGTTTTGTTATTTTCCCGGGGACACCTCAACCTCGGGTTAGCTGTTGCTATGGCAAGGGAATAAATCGGGGCTCTGCTGAGCTAGCAAACTGCAACATCGCCTCCTCCTCGTCCTTCCTCTACCCTCCTAGCTACCCCGCAACGCTACAATATATATACACTGCCTGGCCAAAAAAAAAAGTCGCCACCTGGATTTAACTAA